TATTTAGTGGCCCAAATCCTGATCGTTGTCCATGGATTGCTCTGATTCATTCGCCTTTCTCTGATGGGTGTTTTTAATAATATTTACTGTATATAACGACTGAGAGGACTGCTGTTTATTGCAGTCATCCTGGACTTTTGGCGTTTTGGAAGTTTACAGTCGTGGAACGTAATAAAAGCCACTTCGATCAGAGAGTCATTAAAAGCAAATAAAGCCGAACGTGGCCTTGGAGCCTGTTCAAAGCAGGCCAAGCATTATCGCTCTTCCTGTTCCATACCTAATATGAGGAGTAAATAAGTGGAGGTGTTGCTCTACATTGATTATCATTAAAAAGGGCAAACTTGGAAGGCCACCAGGAGACTCTTAATCAGGGTGGGCACAGCAGAGCTTCAAATGCGGAGAGAAACAGAGACACCCCCCCCCCCAAATTATTCCGGCTAAAGAGGTGAAGCCATCCTCTTATTAAATGGTACTTAAACAGCATAATATGTAGAAGCATCACACCACCCGTGATTTTTAATTGGCTTGTGGATCTCATGAGTGTGTTTCGTTTTGTTCTTCAAATCAAAAATTATGTGCTTCTGTATACTTCCTCGGAAGACTTTCAAGATCTGAATGGATCCCTACCTATGTTTAAAATAATTCTGGACAATGAGGGAAACCACAGGGTACATCCCAAGTGTAAGGCTGACTCCAAAACGCTAGCGGAATGCAAGATACTGAATTTCAGCCAAAGAGGTCTAAAGTATACAGTGAAGTATTTGGTACACCATCTGGTCCTGCTGGAAAACTCAAAATCGTGTGCTGACAAAGAGGTCTACAGTATACAGTATACAGTCCTGCTGGAAAACTCAAAATCGTGTGCTTTATTGCAGTAGTGTGGCTGATCACGGTAAAGGAGCCTCGTGGTCCGGTGGTGAGGTTGCCAGTACTGCAGTAAAGACTCTGCCCGTGACTTGAGCTAGGTGGCCAGCTTGAGGTTTGCTCAGCTTTCCATTCTTCTGAGGTGGGTAAAATGAGTAGCTCACTAAGGGGGCAGGATGTGTGGCCTGCATAATTAAATAGCAAACTGCCCAGAGAGTCCTTTAGACTAGAGCAGTGGTCCCCAACCTTGGGTCTCCTAATGTTCTTGGACTACAACTCTCAGAAGCCTTCACCACTACCTCTGCTGGCCAGGATTTCTGGGAGTTGAAGTCCAAGAACACCTGGAGGCCCAAGGTTGGGGACCACTGCTTTAAAGGCTATGGGCTGGTATATAAGCAACACACTTTAAAGGGCTGGGAAGCTTTTCCACACCTCCTGAAGCAGGGTGGATAGTGCACAGGATCCATAACCCACAGGACAGTGCAAGACCTGGTTAGTGAAGTCCCACTGTGTTCTTTAGGACTTGAGGTTTTGCCAATTCACCTCCCGGTGGTCGGGCCGAGAGAAGTTCTAGACGAGATGAAGACAGTGACAACAGTGGCAATCACAGTGTGGGTGTACGGAGATTTGTGTATGGAAAGACTGTGTCCAGGGTTCTCGTCTGATCATCTTGAGAAAAATGTCTGACTTGGCCACGCTTCATTTTGAGGGCCGTGTCTTTTGCGCTGGCTTGCTCCACTGGGTGACTCTTGGAAAACAACTCTTAAGCAGATCCAGGAAAACATGAACTTATTCTACATGTGGAACAGAGAACAGGGTTTACCACAAACCCACTGATCTAGTACAATACTGCATCTCCAAAGCTGAGTTAGCTAGTCATTTTCGCCGTGGAGAGGACGCACTGAATGCAGGAAGGAGGAAACAAAACGGTCTTTATTACAGTCCATGACACTAGAAGGCTCAACTTCCAACATTGCCTGATCATTACAAATGGGAACAGAACAATCAGCCCTGCCGGGCTTCTTGCTAAATAACAGATCTCTCTCTTTTTATATAGTCAAAACAAACATACACGGCCACTTTCAGAAGTTTTAAAAAAAACAACAACCAAGTAACTAACCAATGCAGGAAACAGAACAGTAAAAAGCAATGTTACTGAGCAGAATTACTCATGGGTAAGAGAAAAAGAAATACGTGCTGCCTTTCAACAAAAGTAGCTCATGAAAATTTGGATCACATTTACGCTGGATTCCGTACATTTGCCCAGCAGGAGCCGAGAGTAATGAACACAGTGCACGTACACTTTTATTTTTGCACGATCCCCTTCCAGCACAAAGTCCAAGCGAGCCGAAGAACACGTTTTTGCTTCTAACGTTTTTAATTACTTTTTTGAACGGGTGTAAAATGGTTAACACAGCACGTCACTCAAGCAACGTCCATTTTTTTTATCTGAAGGAAAATGTTTAGACATACATTTACATCAAGCAATGTTTCCTGTTTCTGTAACCCGACACCATCTTAGTAGTTAGGGTTATAAGTAACCTGCCTTCACGTGGTTCCAACAGAGAAATAGGGTAGGTTGGGCGTTCCCTCCTACACAAGGGAATGGGTTGTGTGACAAAGTATTCAGCGTACAGAACTGTTTACAGTCAGGATGTGTACCATGCAGGTGATTGTGGGCAGAGACAGCATGGCCTAATGGTAACAGCTCAGATGACTAGGGTTGGGAAGAGCCAGGGTCTAGCTTCAAGCCTTCAAAGCATTCCCATGACATGGACTGATGGAACTTGACACAACCCACGTCATGGGATGCTTTGAAGGGTACTTCCAGGATCCTACAAAATCCCACAGCATCTCTGGGTGTACCTTGATGGAATTTAGGAATCAAATTCTGCATTACAGATCTTAGAAGGTGATTTCCATCAGTTTTAAAGATGTGATTCAAGTATTTGCAAAGAGACATGCCTGCATATAATGAATTGCAACAATAGGCAGGTTTAAAGGGGAAATAGGTCCAGCTGAAACCTGGAGGCTTACTTCCGAGTAGAGGCACACAGAATTGTGCTCACAGGCATGTTGCGCTTTTATTCCTGGTGGTGACATTTCCTGCACAGAAGTTGCCTTCCAAATAGGATAAACTGGAGGCTTAAAGCTGTCCTTAATGTTTTCTAACACCCTTGCATCTTCACCACAATCAATCCTTGTTCATCTTCTGTTCCCATAGTGATACAGAATGGGAACTACGATGCTTGCAACTCAGGAACTGACATGCAGAAAGCTGACTGTTCGTAAGTGCTCGTGATCTATGCTAACAACAATTAGCACTCGGTAAGAATAACTTGTATAAATTACTGCATTGTTATCACATGCTCTGTCTATTTAGAAGACAATCGGGATTTGAGAACGCCCATGTATATGAACTGGTCCTTAATCAAAATGGATTTTAATTGGGCCTCTCTGTTTTACGACAGTCACTGGCAATGGTAGGTAATCATATGTATTACAGTAAACCATAATCAGTGCTAAGATTTTGCAACTCTGTACACGTCCGTATTTCAGAAAAGGCTAGATTTTTGCACCCCCTTCAGTCTTGTCCAGAAAAAAAGTACAAAATAAAAGACAGAACAATGAACCATTCGGCCTGAGATACAGTTTAGAATATGACCAAAGTCTCCCTGTAGAGTATTGGCTCAGGACTGGTAGAGAATGGTTATGTCCTCCTTTTAAATATGGAAAAATCCTTGCACGCATAATTCAGAAATTTGTAAGACACCTCCAGCAACAACGAATTCATGTGCACGGGTTGGGAAAGAGCACTGCGCTTCAGTTGTGCAACTTATGAACTTTTTCATAGAAAAAAATTAAAAAGTGCATCCGAAAACCCAAAGAGAAATGAATTCTAAGAAAGCATCATTCAATGATCCCTTCATTTATTTTTACCTTAAGTTCAAGGCAAGCAAAGTACAGATACTGTACATTAAATATATGTGCACATATGGAACAAAGGCTCCGAGGTCTAATTTTCAAAGTCTGGCTTGTGTATTTCCCAGTGTGACTGACTTCGGATGGCGGGTTTGTTTTTTGTTTTTTTTCTCGCACGGATGGTTAGATGTAGAGCGAGCCATCGGCGGGACCCACGTAGCCAACGCCTATCAGTAACACATCAATCAGAGTCCAGATTCCCAGGCCACCAAAGCTGAAGAGTTTGCCCAGACCCTCCCGCCACTGGCCCAAGTAGAAACGGTCCGCTCCGAAGCCACCAAGGGTGATGCTGGGGACAGAAGACAAGGATTAAGTTGGAGCTCTTCACTCTGGCTTGTCACTCCCCTGACCGCTGAGGTTAGCAGCAAAAGAAATTCATTTGTGTAAGGGGGCAAACGTTGAGTCCCAATCAACAAGATGCTGAACGTTAATGCTACCAAGTATCTGAAAGGACTTCATACTTGTTTTAAGAAGTAAAAAGATACTGGCAGTATCCCATCTTATTTCTGCAACTCAGGGTATGCAAGATGCATAAGATCACAAGGGAAAAAGACAGGAGGAGGAAGAAAGAAAGAAACGAATACACGACAACTCAGGGCATGCAAGATGCATAAGATCACGTGGGAAAAAGACAGGAGGAAGAAAGAAAGAAACGAATACACGTCTCCCTTGAATTGCAAGGGGTTAAGCACCACAGTTTTGGTGATACAGGGTTGTTTTTTTTCCAAGTAAAAAGGAAGTTAATAAATAAGTAAATATTTCAATAGATAACCATTCCAATAAATAAATATTCAATAAATACTGTGCCCCTGGCCACCCAGAACCCCATGAGTTCAACACTGAAGGTATCAAAGTGGTCTACACTTGCCCCCCCCCAAACACAACAGCTCTAATTCAGCCTCAAGCTAAGGACCTTTAAGGCCAATCACACACCACGTTGTATGGAAAGAATTGTCAACACTATGGAAGAGACCTCCAATAGAGAGAACTGTTCTGTATGTGTCTGTGTCTGTGTGTGAAACCACCATTTGGGCTTTGTAGCTATGTTTTTAGGGGCATAAGAGTTACAGATGGATTTTGAACTACAATGGGGTCCACCATCCCTAAGTCCAGTGTTGCTGGAAGGAGACATGTAAATCTTTTGCCCAGGTTATCCAAGCATCTAGTCCAAAACATGGAGGGCTCTTTTCCTCCACCCCATTGCCAGTGCTGGCTAGGATTGCTCGGAGCTACTATCTCTACAACGAAGTAGAGAAGGCTGTCATTTGCACACACCTGGCTGACGTGGTTGTTTAAGGCAGCAGTCCCGAACCTTTTTAGCCCTGCGAACTGGCTGGGGAAGGCAGAGCAGCCTCCCTGTGCATGCACAAAGGGTGGTGCAGCGCTTGTGTAGGCATGCGGGTACTCATGTGCATGTGGAAAGGGCAGCGCGGTGCTCAGGAGGCACTCGTGCACATGCACAAAGGGGTGGTGGAGCACTCACGTGGGCACAGGCGCAAACAGGCTGTGGGGAGGATGCGTGCAGGAGTGGGGCCCAGTCCAGCTAAGGCCACAGACCAGCACCGGACTGCGGACCGGGGACTGGGGACCTCTGGTTTAAGGGACACTCTTCAAACACAATTCTCCAATAGAAACAGAACGTGATAAACCACAACTTTATGCACTCAAACTGTAAACAAAACAGGGGGATGTTGAGATTTTCAAGCCAAAAAGACCATATGATCGCCAGGTTTGGATCTGGTTAGTATGTGGATGAGGGGCGAAGCAGGGAATGCTAAGCCTCTATGGGCAGGATAAGGAAGAATTCCTGGGATCTGCTGCCAGTCAGAGCTGATAACACCAGATGGACCAGTGAACTGATTTGTTACAAGGATTTGCTCGCACGTTCATAACAGAGTTTTGGCACCGGGGGCAAGGCGTCAGTCCTAAACTCCTGAGGCTTTATAGGCCAATCCTTAGCACAGAAGTTTACCTATTGGAAAAATGCCAAAAGAAAGCAACTCTGAGGAGCCAACACCAAAGGCCCCTGCAGAATTGAAATACCCTCAACCCTGACACTTAAAGGGTGAGAACAGACATAAAGAAACGACCTCTAAGATACAGACACTGGGTGCTCAGGGTTTCACTTTCAGTCGAGGGGTACGATAGATCACAAAGAATCTCAATCAGTGGTGGAATTAGACCTTGGAACATCAGTCATTTGGCAGGCAAATAATCAGGCTACAGTGTTGTATTTTTTTAATCAGCTGAGGGCCTGTTGGTTTACAATGAAGTTTTGGTGTCTTTTTTTTAAAGCATCAAACAACAACATAATGGATACCCAGAAAAGCCAGAAGTGGGATCAACTCCGCCTACCTTAAAGCCAAGGCTGTTGACCATTTATAGCCTCCAGTCCAGTTGCAATAAAGCATCTTGGGAAAGGTGCGATTACCTTAAAACAAAAACAGACTCAGGTCTTAAGAACGTTACCACAAACACAAAGATGAGTTCACACACTGAAAACTGAAGCACAAACTGAATGCAGTAGTTTTAGCCTCGGTCAAATGGATTATCCTGTGGCAAATCTTTAATTCCATTGACAGAAAGCCAGCTCCCACCACTCTCCTTTGTTACTGACCACACATTAAAGAGGAAGAACTCGACTGATAGTCCTCCCTAGAGGAGGTAGAATGTTTCAGTGGGCAAATCTCTAGGTGGTCTGCCATTTGCCAGTCATGACTTTTCATTCTTAGTTGCTTTATGGTAACAAAAAGATGCTCCTGAAGTCTACATTAGATGCCTACAATGAATAAAGCATGGGGCAACTGGAAATGTGCTTGTGTGTGAAATCCTTTCAGCCGTGGTACAGTACTTCAAAACAAGTTCCTATAATCTGCTTTGTTTAAATCCTACGTATGGGTCTTTTGTTGGAGGCTTCTGCTGGTAGGTCTGGGTTTCCAGTGAAACAAAGCAGGAGAAGGGGGAGGAAAATTTGCTGTTTTTCGTTTTTATTTTCATGCACCAAATGAATTACTATCTTATCATGTTTTAATTACACTCGCCCGCTGAAAACCTGTGAGTGTTCGGCAGCTGCCCAGTTTTAACTATGTACAAGTCAACAAAACCAAAAGATAACTTAAGAGAACATTCTTCCAGAAAAAGGACTGGCTGTAAAACTGGTATATCAAATGATCAGACCCAAACGGGCAATCTAGTGCAAATTGCAGAAAATGGGACCAACAGCACGACCCCTGAACAGAAAAATACCAGGGCCCACTCCTGCCACAAATCATGGGCAAACAGGTGACCATTTCTCCACCGAAGTCTATTCACAATAGCACTTTGACTACGGGGGTGGTAAAGGACAGTTTGTAGGTGTCTGAATATAGCTGAATGGCATACCCTATCATTCACGACTACTGGTGGGTGAGGTTGGATGGAGATGAGAAGATTAGTGTCTAACAACATCTGGATGGCTACCAGCTCCAGACTCCTGGACAGGTGCCTATAATAGCAGTTCCTTTAACGACCGCCTGATACCATCCAAGCAAGCAGTTGTTACACAGCTTCATTTTCCCCCAGAAACCCAAATTTCTTCTAAATAGATATTCCTACCTCCAAAAATTACTGTCACTGCCAAGAAAAGGGATTACATGGAGAACTCAGTCACAGTAAGTCATGAATTTAATTTTCTGTGGCATGTTTTGGTTATATTTGTATTTTTTAAAGGGATTCTAGACCACCATAAACAAGAAATAAGACTTTGGTATATTTTACTAAGATCTGTAACTCAAAACACATGACATGGGAATGAACCTAAACATGACCATTAGGAGATGAGGTGCAAGCAGAGAAAAAAAACTACTTGCATTTTTTTCTTCCTAATTCACTGAAGTAAGCACCCAAAATCAAATATCCAGGTACTACAGTTAAAGACAATCGGAACAAGACGGGGTAGCAACAACAAGTGTTTCCACAGGGTATGGCTTACCTAGGCAATGGATATGATCCTGCACTGTGCAGTTGGCACTATATCGTTCTCGTGGGCAAGAAACTGTCTTACAGTTGATAGGATTGGAACAGACGTAGTCTGTGGGAGGAAGCTGCCAGCAAAACTGGCAAGTCATGTTGATTGTGAAGAATTTCTGACGATTGTTTTTCTCATCCTGTATGGGAACCAGGAACACAAATCACCCTTTGAGGAATAATTCATAGAACAGATTTATAAGGCAAGAGAGCAAATAAAGGAGATTTAAAGAATGCGGTGGGGGGGGGGAGGACAGAAAAATATGGCTAAAGAACTACTTACAACACAGTGAACCTGGGATTTAGCTTCACATTCAAAAACAGCTGGTCTCCCATAGATGCAAGTGTAGTTTGTTTTACAAGACATACATTCGGGAGGCAGAAGGGTGCATAAACCATTGCTAGGGCATCGTGTCACATACGATGGAATCGATGTTGTCTCTGAAACGTTAAGACCTGCTGAACACAAAGGGATAGGCAAAAAAATAATAATCAAAAAACCAATGTCTTAGGAAAAAGGGAACATGAAGGTCCAAAGTGCTGGCATCAAATTCCTAAGCAATGGTCTGTATTTTATTCTACAACAGCCGGTGAATTTGTTTCATACCTTTCAGTCACATACGGGGGGTGGGTTTCAACCCTATCATGAGAATCCCTTTGCCAATTTAGGTTCCAAAAGAAAAATTACATCTTCCTAGGCAGCAAATGGCCATGACCCAATCCATGGCATGTCCAGGAAGCCAGCACCATCATCATCTTATAACTACAGAGCCGGAAGAAACCATATGGCTGGACTTGATACTCCATAGGGTCTCTTCCAGCTCTGCAATTCTACGACGATCATCATCATTACCAACACAGGTACTGTACTGACTTTCTGGTCACCCGCTGAAGAACACAACCAGCCTCTTCATAAATGGGCACACTTTCATCTCGGAGTCCTCTCTCTCGCTCCTTCCTTCCTTCATATACCACCTCATTAGTGCGAGCAATATTCTGGGCAGTTAACATGTGAAAACCAAGAGTCAAATAACAATAAAATAAAATTTCAAGGGGGGGGGTTCCCTTACACAAGCAAAAACCAACAGCAGGGATATGACCTGGGTGTGTTTCATTAAAAGCATGCCTCGCTGTACTCCAGCTCTGCAGTTCTAAGAGGAGGAGGAGGAGGATTATCAAGGATGATTAATATTATTATTTCAAAGGTTTTGCTCCCAGTTAGAGACATGTGTCCTAAAAAATAACAACAGCAGGCAGAGGGGTCCCTTCCACCTCCTGAGGTAAAAAAGGCAGGAGAGAAAAAAAAAGATGATAAAACTGAAATTAGACATTTAGGACTGAAGCCCTTACTTTTTGGGAGTTTAGGGAGGGCCCTCTCCCCCCCAAAAAATAAACAGGGAGCCCTCTCCGACCCTGGACGCTTCCTGAGAGGGGGGGGACGCAGCTTCCTAACGCCTCAGCCTAATGAGGATTATTGATATTAATTGATGATTAATATTGAGGATACGAAACACCACCCCCCCCCACACACACACACACATATATGAGGGATAAGAAAACCCGACCGACCGACCGACCGACCGTCCTCGTCTTCCCCTCGCCGCCCGCCCTCGGGCGACCCACGGAGCCCACCTTGCCCGGAGAGGCCGCAGAGCTGGGCGAGGAGGAGGAAGAGGGCGAGGCGCCAAAGCCGCCTCAGCGACCGCCGCCCGCCCTGCTCCAGCGCCGCCATCTTGCCCGCATCCGGGGACTTCGGCGTGACCCCGCCCAACCACCGAACCCCGGCCGTCGCGGGAAAGGCCCGGATGTGCAAGCCCCGCCTCCCGCCTCCGAGTCGTCTCCTCCCTCCCTTTCCAGAGGAGGCGCTCTCGGGGGCCCCCGTGAGGCCGGGAGCGGCATGACTTCTCTTCCAGGTAAGAGGCGTTCTGGAGATCGCTAACTCCCAAAATGTCTTAAGGGGATACTGGGAGTGGTAGTCAAAAAAAGGTAACTTCCTTACTCTCTGATCTGTGGGGCCTCCTGGTTGGCCTAATGATGGTTCGTGTGCGTGGTCCATGGCTCCCAAAGAACAAGCCGGCAGAGGACAGAGACCCGCCAGGAACAAGGGGTCCCCAGGCAAGATGAGCCACCGGGAGAGGGTCTCCCCCCCATTTGTCCAAACGTTTTTTTCAAAGCCATCCAGTCCAGCTGCCTTTTGTTTCTGTTCATGGAGGACTTAAGGAACCTCTTAATAAGGGCGAAAAAGGAGAGCGCCAAAAAATGGCCTGAAGCTCAACATCCAAAAAAGCTAAGATCATGGCCACT